CATGGACGGTATAACATGGCCCCTAACTGGCCCTTAACCTCAGTTTGTGCTGGCAGATTAACAGAGATATATACCTGGAGACCTTTGCACTAAAGCAAGGAAGAGCATATTTAAACCCAGCACGAGTGAAGAAGGCCAGCTGCTGAATTGGAGGTTGTAAAACGGGCTGGGTGCCACAAGAGTCTCAGAGGAAGGACGTCCATGTCCCCCATCCATGTCGGTCCACAACCACAAGCCCCTGCCCTCCGTGTCCCTCAGAGCTGGCTGCTGAATGGCCCCAGTGTTCAAGGGTGCTGGGGAGGGTCGACCTTGATGCTGTGGCCTTTTCAGCCCTGTCCACTTACACCCATCAGTAACCTGCAGGCATGCAGAATGGCCGTCCCTGGGCCGCGGCCGACGGCCGACGGCGCTGCCCTAGGCACGGCTCTCCAGAGGGAAAAAAATAACAACATTTTTTTGAGTCAACTATGCTTGGAAGCATTGCTGTTACTCATAAAATGTGAGCCTAACATTCCCGAACGCACGCCTCTATTAAAGAGAAGTTCTCTGGAAGCCCTGCAAGAGTTCTCAGAGCTGACTCTGCTTGGCTGAAAAAGTGGCATTTTTAACATTCATCTAATGCATCTGAATAAATAATGTTTTATAAATAACATCCAATAACAAAAAAAAATTATGAAGCCTATTACCTGTTTTTATGACCTTACTTTATCATATCTTTACTCTTTACCGGTCAGTTTCATTGAAAAACTACATAACATTTGTTGCTATATGTTACTGTATTAAGAGCTGATCAGTGAAATAATATTACATCATATGGTTCACGCCTTATTGTACTCTAATGAAAAGGGAAGTGAGAATAGGGTTCAGTTTGTGTATTTTTAAATTTGTTTGCACTATAGGCGCAAATTTTTCAGGAATTTTTCTCTGGAACTAGAACTTTTTTCCAGAACCAGGGACTTTTGTTGTGTTCACACTGCAGGAACTCAGCCTGATTGTAGTTTCTCAGAGACCGTTCCAGAATCCTCCGGTGTTTTGGTGTGAAAGTGTAATTTTGTTTGAAATTATGTATGAGTTTAACCTATGAACTTTTGTATCTCCCATGCTTATTTAACATAATGGTCACAGTTTCTGTCGTGTGCTATAAAAGCGACATACATGAAAGTGTCCATGAGCTGCAAAAGTTCCCTTGTCGAGACCAGGAACTTGTAAACCGGGACCAGGTTCCGGAGCTCCAGTGTGAAAGCTCCTTACGTGTGCTGTCTTTGCGCCTTGTCACTTTTGTGTTCCTTGCTGCCGTAGACACAGGAATTTCCCTTTGGGATCAATAAAGTTCGTCTAGTCTGAATGAGGGATTAGTGGGCCACCCTGTGAGATATCACACAGACAGGTGTCACATGACTCCGGCCCCATATCTCCTGTTTACCGCCCATCCCTGCGGCATTCAGAAAATAACTGTGAGAGGGGAAAAAAAAACAACTCCTCACCCCAAGCTTCCCAGAAGAAAGTCCCAACCAGGCCTTCTGCAGAGACTCACCTCTGGTGTTTATTTTCGCACTCCCCTTAACCCTGCACATGGAACTGCCTGGTCACCCCCACGATAAGGCCTGAGACATTCCAGGGCAGCTCAGCAGCCAATGGGAGCACAGGAACCCATCCAGCTAATTTACTGCCTTTGCCAAGCCCCACCTTACATTCCTCAGGAAAGTGCAGTCAATGACTCTTTAAAACAGCCCTTTTAGACCTGAAATGTTCTCATTATGTGGTCTGGCCAAAGCCCCTGTAATGACTTTTGCGTTTTCATGAAAGGCACCTCAAAACGACCCCTGGAGAAGAGTTACTCACTGTGAGAGGTTTAACAGCCAGTGCTGTTGCGGAGGAGCTAACATGTCACCTCTGTTTGCGGACCCTCGGCCCGCTGGCCTAAGGGACACTCCACTGGTTTTTCCCAAATCCCAGTATCCGTCGTGGAGCTGTAGTATTAATTCCCCTTATGCAATCTCCTTGAAGTAAAATGTTCCGTTGCTCTCTGCCTGCCAGGAATAACTCCCATCGACTTTCCATGTTGAATGTTTGCCTTTTTTTATATATAATTGGGAAACTGTGCTGTTAGTCAGCCCCTCTTGCACGCTTTGGATGACCCGTCTGAACATGTTCATTCTTGCCAGCTACGAACGCAAGAACAAAAACGCACGGTCGATGACTCTCTTCTCACTGTGAGTGTTTCTATCCACATTCGCCTGGTCAGGAACGCAGACGTGGCAAAAGGGGAAGCATGTAGACCTGGTACATGGATATTGCTCTTAATTGCATTTCACATCACTGACTTGTTTTTTTTTCCAATAATGTCCCCATTAAACTCTAAAGCAAAGATTAATTGTGTATACACTGCAACATTCCTTTACTTTGGGGGTGGAGTGTGACTCAGTGGGTTAGAACACTGTGATCTGAAGATCATGGGTTCGAATCCTAGCATTGGCATAGTGATTTTGCTCCAAGGCCTGGATGACCCTGCTTTGGATAAGTGTCCGCCACACAGATAAATGTCAACGTCTCATGTCCCTGCAGGTGGTGTATTTTGGGGACAGCATGCGCTCGGACATGTTCCCGGCCAGCAGCTACGGGAAGTGGGAGACGGTGATGATCGTGGAGGAGATGGAAGGGGAGGGGGTCCCACGCAGCAGTGGGGGCTCCAAGCCGGGCGATGTGCAGCTGGAACCGCTGGAAAAGAAGGGGAAGTATGACGTAAGGGAGCGCCAGTGGCCGCCTGCCCCCCAGCTGGAAGTCACAGAGCTTCTACCGCAGACTTCCCCAATCCTGCTCCTGGAGAGCCAGTCCCAGTCCCAGTCCAGGCCTGCAGGGCCAGTCTGCACCACAGTTTGCAGATTTCCCTGCTCAAACACACCTTCTAAACCTGGTAATCAGTTGGTAAGCTGAATGAGTTTTTTCTGAGCAGGGAAATCTACAAACTGTGGTGCAGACTGGCCCTGCAGGCCTGGACTGGGACTGGGACTGGGACTGGGACTGGGACTGGCCCTCCAGGAGCGAAATTGGGGACTGGCCCTCTCTCTTGAAGCAGGGGTGTAGGAAAGGAGCATGTCATGGATGAAGATTCATAAGATGGAGGGGGTGGAGGGAGAATGAAAGAAGGATAGACAGACCGGATGTGTCAAGCAGATAGATAGATAGACAGACCGGATGTGTCAAGCAGATAGATAGATAGACAGACCGGATGTGTCAAGAGTATTTCACAGGAAAATAAAGAGTGCCACCTCACTGATCCCGACCTTGAGTGTTTCGGCCTGGACGGCAGGACGTCCCCAGGATGAGCAGAAAGGAATGTGTCATATCTGCTGTGATCCGGCTTCCTGTCTCACGGGATCCGGAGTGGTAAGACTGTAGGGGAATCACTCCGCAGAGCCTGTCACTGTGCGGAAACTGGCATGCCGACTGTGAGCCCAGCACAGCTTCTCCCCCTTCCGTCCTCCGTTAGTGAGGGGACACTGAGACCCCCCATAAGAGTCATTCTCTTTTGTGGCTGTTGACAATGGTCCTTGTATCTGGATAGTTGTGGCTGCACTCGCTGGCTGATACCCCAGACCTCCATTTAACTCCCATGCATTCTGGCCCGACTGTCCCATGGCTGCTTCCATAAGTTTATGTGATGTTTTGGTGGAGGTCCTGGCTTTGATGTCATGGGATTTTTGCCAAGACTTGAAACACAAAAAGATTATTTTGCAGAGATGGGATGCTGAGTGACCCCAGACCTCTCACTAATTTCTCAGCGTCTCCGACAAAGGCTTGATTTTGTGGGATATGACCCAAGTAGCTCGACCAGATCTAATGGTTTGATGGCTATGATTGGCACGCAAATAATAAAAAAACTACACAGCTTCTTATATAATCAGAAAGAGAAATGCATTGGTTAGAAGCACAATGTTCTCCTTTATATACATGAAATTTCCATGACCTTCAAGGGTAATTATTAACAGCAAGTGTATTTTTTAGTAAAAAGCAGACGTTTTTAAGCATTTATATAAATAAAAAGTATATTATATATGTTATATAATTTGTTTATATATTATTCAAATATATTGTGATATACACATTTATGAATGTATTGTGTTTTTGTTTTTTTTTTATTTGTTTTTTTTTATTTTTTTATTATTATTTCTTTAGCTGACGAATTGTATAATTACCTGTGTTCATGTCAGATAACAGAGTACATGACTTTGATAAACGCTGGACTGTCCCAGGGAAGGCAGATGGCTGATCAGCTGATTTAAGCTCCTAACTTCCCCAATTCCGGGTCCAGAAGAGTAATCTGTTCCTCTGAGTCATGTCTTGGTGGCATGATGTATATTTTCAGCCTGAAGTATCTATTATAAATCACTGTTCGAGGGATTAGCCTCAGAGACACAGAGTTGTTCTTCCATGGAAAACTATTAACAAAGAACGCATTTATGTTTTCAGGAGAAATCTTTTAACACAGCATATTTCTGTGTAGGTCAGCTTGAGGTATAAGCCAAGGTTAAACACTGCTGGGTAATGAGTAAGAAAATTAAGACGTCGAGCCCGCAGGGAAAATCAGAGCAGGGAGGCAGTGCCAAGCAGGTCCTGGGCCCCGTCTGTTTTTACAATGCCTGCTCAGAGGGCTAGAGAGTGAAATAATTAATAAGATTTAGCTCGCCTTGGGTCGCCTCAGAGAGCACAGCCATCTTTGCTGACACATCCGGCCTATTTCCAGAACCAAGGCATGAAAACGCCGTCGGCCAGTTCTGAGCAGTGGGGTTCCTACTTCGTGGATATGCACAGGGAGACTGAGGACGAAGAGGGACCATCCAGGCTGACTTGGTGCTGCCACAGCATCCACACGTACAGCAGCCTGGCCATCCCCAGCGTGGAGGCCATCGTAGGTACGTTTTGGGACAGCCAGCCCTGGCATACACCTGAGCATACACCCAAATGCCCACATCCCAGCATATACCCAGTGCCTACATCCCACCATACACCCCAATGCCCACGTCCCAGCATGCACCCGATTCTGTCCACATCCCAGCGGCTGATTTTGTAAGCTTATACAATTTGTAACATACGAACAGAATGTGTGCGTGAGAGGTCGTGAAAATTTTTTTAAAAATGTAATTAATTTCTGGAAATTATACCAACCTCTCTGAAAAACCCCTCAGCATTCTGCGACCCGCTGGAAAATTGGTTACAGATGGGTACGCGGACCAGAGTTTGGGAACCGGTGCACTACAGGGCACAGATGCACATAGTCGCACAGTTTGTGCAGTTTACAAACACTAATTCACCTAACTGCATGACAAGCGCGAGTCCCACAGGAAATGCGCATACATACCCAGAGTGGTGACAGGATTTAAACCTCCAGTCTGAGAGGTCTAAGAGGACTGAGCCACAAGAAGACCTGTGTACACCAGTGGTTGTGACAGCTAGGCCACAAACACCAGATTCCACTAAAATGTTCTCTCATTGTTATGAAGACTTGCATGCTGAAGTATCACCAAGACGAATGTACTTAATCAGCATGGTCTCCTTTAAATCTGGGGTTCAGATGTTTAGGTCTATGTCATGCAGAAATTGCACAGACCGGTGAATTGGGCATGGTAAAATTAGCTGAGCAGGGGGTGTGAATTGTATATGAAAAAATGGGACAAATCACATGTATTGCTGGATCACAAAATTTTGTTTTCTGATACATGATGATTCCATGATATATGAGATGGGCGGCAACTCTACCCCAGTATCCTGTGTCCCACTGTAATACTAGTCTCAGACTGGTACCAGGGGCGTCCTAGTTTAGACCATTTATCTTCTCACGGACTGTCCATGCTGTAGTACAGATCATCAGCCTTGCTGGTAAGGCACATGGACACAGCACCTGGGACCCCGTTGTCTTCCATTCGGAAACCAAGCTTGTAGTTTTGTAGTATTCCACAAGCTTTTGGATTTACTTTAGAGGGGATTTTCCCTACAAAGGAATCATTTATGCTTCCAGTCAACGGAGAACTTTAAAGTGGAACAGAAAGTATATAGACATTGTTTTTCTTAGAATCTTAAATTGTTGTGAATTCCGGATTTCACAGGAAATGTGTCTGTGTTACCCTTTTCCTTAGATCTTCCGCTGGATTACCAGTTCCCGAGATTTTCCCCGCATAAACCCAGCACCACAGGCTACTACCCAAGGCCTCCAGATTCACTGCTGAAGAAGTTTGGAAGCGTTCCCTGAGGGCCCGTCCTAGTCTGGGCTGGGGGTCGCAGGGGGGAAAGGGGCTCCGCTGAGCCAGTCGTCTTTCGTGTGAATCATCCGTCCTTGTAGAGCACAGAGAACCTCAACACTTGCATATAAACCATGTGAATGTATTACTCGTCATAACCACACTCTGTGGAGTTGGAGTCTTTTTTTGAAACTGAAACATTGTTACACGAATTGTTACATGATGTGACTTGCAGATGTACTTGTTGACATTAAATAAAAATATTACAGTTGCTTTCCCAGGGTGAAGGGAGGGAAGCCATAGAAGACTGTGTAAATCAATTAAAAAAAGTTGTGCTCCAGAAACTGTGCTTAAGCTCTTAATCCATATGCTTGGTTACTGACATCAGAATCTGAATTTGCATGAAGTTCTTAATGGGTGTCGGAAGAAAAAAATCCTCCCTCTACATTTCTGATAAAAGTGCTGTTCTCTTTGTTTTTACATTTTTTTATAATTTATTTGCTTAAACAACATGGTTTAAGCATTTTGGTTGCTTTTCTTTTGAAGGTAAATATGTTGTTTTTCATTGATTTCTTGTGATTACATCATGCAGCAATCAGCATTTTATTTTTTTATGTGTCTTTTAAAATGATATTTGTATAACATAAAAACTTGAATCCAGACTCATAGCAGTGTTACTGTCCTGTTGTAGATGCTAAAAAATAAAAATCTATCAGTATTTTCCATAAAATCAAGCACAGTTTTTTAGTCACTGTGTTCCTTATTTTGGTATGAAGTTGAAGAACTCTGAAATAAAGTAATCGGTTAAAGTAACTGTTCTGTGTGTGAAATGTCACCAGGGACTTAGGAAGCAGTGTGCTGTTTTGTCAGAGCGTTTCTTCAAGGCCCCGAGGTCATTCACGTTCTCATTGTATGCCAAAAATCATTGGTGACGTTGTCCAGCTTGCTTTGTGTTTCGTTCTGGTGCAGCAGTAAATGTTGTGCTGTCGAGTGCTTGTGTAAAAATGTCGGATACTTGTGCTTCATTCTGCGGCATTTCGAGGACATGCTTTAACCGACTACTGAATGGAGGCATTTTCATTGTTGGTTTGCATAAGACTACAGTAGCTGTTCTATTAGCAAGGACCCTGTATTAAATCTGTATGAAATCTCTTAGTAAGAAATACCATGTTATTACTCATGAAAGGTATATGTGCCCTGTCAGCCAGAATGGTTATTCTTTTCATTGTCCCTTCAGTGTATCACAAATGTCTTCTTTAGTTATTTATTACTTTTTTATAAAACATTTTCTACACCCATTTTGCCTTATGTTGTACTAATTGGTTGAATATGTCCTAGAAAATGCAGGGAAATTGTTAAGTGCACCATATGTGAAATAAAAAAAGAACTGATTCTCCAAATTTGTTATACACAGCTGTCCTTGTTCTTTGTTGTGTTCTTTTAAAATTTTTTAAGTATGTTTATCTCACTTAGGGATAATGACTTATGTGGCCGTCCCGTGTGCCGTTAATGATGCACGAACACACAAGAGGGCCTGTTAAGTTTAGCCGAGCAGCGATGCCTCATTTTCTGTCTCATTTGTAAAGAATCAAACCGCCCCGGATCCGTTCTTGCTTATGCTGTTATGCGTAGCGCATTTTTCTTACACTGTAAAGCAGGAATTAACGACATAAATCACCTCACACCCAAAGAGTGGAACCCCATTTTTAAAACGTAATTTTAAGGGTGCGAAATGTTGGCAAGGACGAGACAGCGCTTTAAACGCCGAGTGACTGCACAGGTATAGGGGCTGTCTGTGGTGCGGATCTGCAGCACTGCCATCACTGCCGTATTGTCTTTTTAGTAACTTACATTTCTGTAGATACTGATTTGCTTACGCCATTACAGTTTTATCATGACATGCAAAGAAAAAATGAGACACGACTGAAAAACTTTGCAAGTAAGCTAAACGGTTCTTACACATGATATGTGTGGGGAGAATAAGTTTCCTCTCGTGTCAGCTGTAAATCCCGCGACCCGCTAACTTCCCGCATGTTCCTCCTTAAAGCCCGGCGCTGATGACGTGCGTCCCCCAGCGCAGACCTTCCCTCCGCAGCAGCTCCATCTCCCCGCTTTCGGGAGCCAACATGCATCGATCTGTGGAGCGATAATGGGGGAGAAAAGCGCCGATCACGCCTGAAACAAATGGCATAGGGAACATCTGCATCGGAGTCGCAAATTTAGCTACACAACTTGGTTAAGGTAATCAAAAGTCTATTTGTTTTTAGTTAAGATTAAAATACCAGTGCTTCTTTGAAGTCTTAGGATGGAGATTACATTTCAACCGTTAATTGTTTTTAGATATTTAGCCGGGGGGAAGCTGGTTTATCTAAAAAGCCATTATTAATTTCTTGGGCGAAAGTAAATAAACAACGGACTGCTTTAGTGTTGCTTTAGTGTTGCGATGGTTCAGTTATATATCGCTTTATAAACCGCGCGTATCTGCAGCACTTTAGTGGCACAAAACGACTGTATTTAAGAATGAAATACTATTCGGCTTGAAAGATAAGCAGTTGTGAGGACGTGGTGAGACTGAAAAACTATAAAAAAAAAATGTTTTCAAAGACAGAACTTCAGAACGAACTTTTCAGTAACGAACTATTCTGCCTATTACACTTGTTGAAATTAAATAGCATTCTTCTGTACTCCGACACAAGCCTTTGTGTGCGTGTGGATTTTGGTGTTATAGCTGGAGTATATTATACTGAGTTTGTCAAATGCCACACGAATGGCCATTAAGGTAAGTAATGTACATTTTTGACTGTTATGTATATAAGGGTCGTACAATCCTAAGGCCTATAAAGTTATTTAACCTTTATTTGGCTTTAAGGGCGTTCATGGAGCCAGGGTAATTGGTGCTTTGGGCGGTCGGTAAAATGCTTAGTTATGGAAGAATATGACAAACGCTCTCCGGTAGCTATTACTGGGAGATTCTGAAACTAAGCAAGGATTTGGTTTAACTGAGGTTTACTGTGTGTCCAGCAGTCAAGAACACACATGCCTCAAAAATGTGAAAGGCAACTGGATCCTGAAAAAGCCACCCCCCCCTCCCCTTACCAAAAATTAGTCTGTCTCTAGGAAATAATAATCTAAGATTTTCCCTGTTGGAGTATAATAATATAACAATTAATTATTTGTAAGGCAGTAGAAGCACAAAAACTGTTGCTTCTGTTTCAGATCTAAAACTCCAGGGAGAATGGAATTTTTCCCCCTGCATACATAAATATCAAAGAGGCCAGACTATGGCAGGAGAACGGCGGGGTCCTGCCATCTGTTTTCTTTAAAACCTAAACGAATCAATACTTCTCATATGTGCGCTTGGGATCCGCTCCTTAGGACGCACTAAGGCTCCGCGGGGCGGCTGCCGGGCTTTGCAGCAGGAGTGGAGGTATCCCAGTAGCTGAGACGTCTGAGCGATATTCAGGCCAACTTTTATATGAGCATAAGACGATGAATCAGGGCGTTGGAGGCTGATGGACCCTGATATGTTGGGCGAGGCTGGATGCTTTGGAAGATCATGGTAAGGTTATGCGTTACAGTGGCCTGTACTACGAAGCGGGGTTACTGGCTTATCGGGGTAACTTGTCGGATTTAAGGTACCACAGTTTAAATGGACTTCATATTCATTCACTTACATTTTGCTCAGACTACCTTAAATCTGACAAGTTACCCCAATAAACCAGTAACCCCACTTCGTAATATAGGCCCCAGGTCAGAGTCAGCATAATTTTGTTGTTACCTGCTTCCTAAATGAAGGGTAAACTCACTGGATCCATAACAAAGACTTCAAAGATCATGTCAAAAATCTCACCTGTTGTCAAAAGGCAATATCCACTGGCCTAGAATTCATCTCCATGAGACACACATACAATTGATGGTAAATCTGGGGTGATGGCGCAGGGTCAGCTGTGGTCTGGTGCCCCTGGAGCAGTTATAGGTTAGGAACCTTTTTCAGGGGCCCACAGACATGTGACTGTTCTGTCAAGGGCAGGGCGTGAACTGACAACCTTCTGATCACAGACAGAGGCTTAGCCCACCGAGCCGCTCAGCACCTCCTGTAAGAGGGGCGGCCTGCTCACCCTCAGGTGCCTGTTATGGTTCTCTGAGTGTATAATTCCATCTTTAGCACTGTCTGTCCCGTCATGAATGTTGCGCTGTAACCTTATTTAGTTTCACTCTGTATTCATTCGCGGCTGAAATGACAAATCTTCTCTCGACTTGGAATAACACATTTCGACGCCGTTCCTCCGCTGTCTCGCTGCCAGCCTGCCGGAAGATGGAGAGCCGTCCTCTCTGATGACAGCATGAGGACGTACATGCGCGGAGCTCCCACGGAGTTCTTCATAAGTCTGCTGTGGGCCGCAGCCGCCGGCACCCTGGGGGCCGTCGATCCCACTGGAGGAATCCCCTTCCTGGGGGGTAGCTATGACGGGCACCCCATGCTGTACTTCGGGCAGGCGGAGGTGGAGAGCCTGCAGCGGGACGCGGCGGGGACACACCGCCTGCTAGCCGGGCGGATCCGCGAGGCGGCCGAAGCCATGCTGGAGCACCCCGAAGACTACCTGCCCCCCTGGAGTCCCGTGGAGTTCAGCGCCCGCTGGAACGAGGTCTACGGCAACAACCTGGGCCTGCTGGCCATCTTCTGTCTCCTGTACCCACATCGCGTCGGCGCCTTGGACCTGGCCCGCGACTACATGGAGAGGATGGCGGCTCAGCCTAGTTGGTATACTTTCTGTCCTTGTTCTTTCCCCGCTTTGAGGCGTTTCCCTGTGTCCTCTTACCCCCAGGGGCAATTATTTCACTTGGCGTTAAACACTCATAAAATGTGTTCACCAGTGAGCAATATTCCCCGGCAATGTTGTTCATCAAAATTGGAATTTAAACATTTTGGAATAATATGTGGTTGAAGCACTTAAGTATATTGCATATTAATCATTAGCTAAATCATATATATATTTAATATTAACATTAAATTTGAGGTTTTATTATTTAATAATAATTAAATTTAATGTACATTTCTGCATGTTTCTTTGTCAACATTCGCTGCATTTCTAGTAAGGAAGCTATTTTTATCACTCTGAGAGGAAATATGGACAGAATTCCTTCTGAGTGCCTGTCCTCATCTGTGGCAGGGAAATAATGTTTGATGCAGGAAATATGCTTAGTTTGAAGCCCGAGTTTAACGTTGAATAGGAAATTAAGCGATGTGAACTGAATGTCCTGGATCGTAGGGGTGGACATTGTGTGAT